ACCATGATGTCACAGGAACAGATGAAGCGCCCGGGGCGCAGCGCGGGACTCTCCGTGTGACAATGGCGGCGCTGCTAACACACACTCACTCACCTCCCTCAAGAAATTCCCGCCAAAATTTACCGCGCGGACAGGGACTATTTTGTTTACTTTTTCACACTACTGATGGTCCGAGGACTGAGAAGTTCGGGAAGATCTGAGACGTTTTTCTCTCCCTTGGAGACATAATGGAGGAAACGTATCCTCCATTGGCCACACGAAGCGTCTCCGGGCCGGAGGGGGAGTGAGAGAAAAAGAAATATTGAAGAAGCGTTCAAGAAATGGTTCGTTATGTTGTCTGTCGTTTTTATCTGTGAAAGGAGAGGAAGCCAGGAACAAGTGAAACTGGAGTTGACGATTACCCGACCTTCTGGGTCCACAATGGTGGCCCAGCACCCTAGACCAGTCCCAGCCACGCTGGCTGGGACTGTGGGACACACAGCCACGCTGGCTGGGGCTGTGGGACACACAGCGTCGCTGGCTGGGGCTGTGGGACACACAGCCACGCTGGCTGGGACTGTGGGACACACAGCCACGCTGGCTGGGGCTGTGGGACACACAGCCTCGCTGGCTGGGACTGTGGGACACACAGCCTCGCTGGCTGGGACTGTGGGACACACAGCGTCGCTGGCTGGGACTGTGGGACACACAGCGTCGCTGGCTGGGGCTGTGGGACACACAGCCACGCTGGCTGGGGCTGTGGGACAAACAGCCACGCTGGCTGGGGCTGTGGGACACACAGCCACGCTGGCTGGGGCTATGGGACACACAGCCACGCTGGCTGGGGCTGTGGGACACACAGCCTCGCTGGCTGGGACTGTGGGACACACAGCCACGCTGGCTGGGGCTGTGGGACACACAGCCACGCTGGCTGGGACTGTGGGACACACAGCCACGCTGGCTGGGGCTGTGGGACACACAGCCACGCTGCCTGGGACTGTGGGACACACAGCCACGCTGGCTGGGGCTGTGGGACACACAGCCACGCTGGCTGGGACTGTGGGACACACAGCCTCGCTGGCTGGGGCTGTGGGACACACAGCCACGCTGGCTGGGACTGTGGGACACACAGCCTCGCTGGCTGGGACTGTGGGACACACAGCCTCGCTGGCTGGGACTGTGGGACACACAGCATCGCTGGCTGGGGCTGTGGGACACACAGCCTCGCTGGCTGGGGTTGTGGGACACACAGCGTCGCTGGCTGGGGCTGTGGGACACACAGCCACGCTGGCTGGGACTGTGGGACACACAGCCACGCTGGCTGGGACTGTGGGACACACAGCCACGCTGGCTGGGACTGTGGGACACACAGCCACGCTGGCTGGGGCTGTGGGACACACAGCCACGCTGGCTGGGACTGTGGGACACACAGCCTCGCTGGCTGGGGCTGTGGGACACACAGCATCGCTGGCTGGGACTGTGGGACACACAGCCACGCTGGCTGGGACTGTGGGACACACAGCCACGCTGGCTGGGACTGTGGGACACACAGCCTCGCTGGCTGGGACTGTGGGACACACAGCCACGCTGGCTGGGACTGTGGGACACACAGCCACGCTGGCTGGGACTGTGGGACACACAGCCCCGCTGGCTGGGACTGTGGGACACACAGCGTCGCTGGCTGGGGCTGTGGGACACACAACCACGCTGGCTGGGGCTGTGGGACACACAGCCACGCTGGCTGGGACTGTGGGACACACAGCCTCGCTGGCTGGGGCTGTGGGACACACAGCATCGCTGGCTGGGACTGTGGGACACACAACCACGCTGGCTGGGACTGTGGGACACACAGCCTCGCTGGCTGGGACTGTGGGACACACAGGCTCGCTGGCTGGGACTGTGGGACACACAGCCACGCTGGCTGGGACTGTGGGACACACAGCCACGCTGGCTGGGACTGTGGGACACACAGCCTCGCTGGCTGGGACTGTGGGACACACAGCCACGCTGGCTGGGACTGTGGGACACACAGCCTCGCTGGCTGGGACTGTGGGACACACAGCCCCGCTGGCTGGGACTGTGGGACACACAGCGTCGCTGGCTGGGACTGTGGGACACACAGCCACGCTGGCTGGGACTGTGGGACACACAGCCTCGCTGGCTGGGGCTGTGGGACACACAGCATCGCTGGCTGGGGCTGTGGGACACACAGCCTCGCTGGCTGGGGTTGTGGGACACACAGCGTCGCTGGCTGGGACTGTGGGACACACAGCCTCGCTGGCTGGGACTGTGGGACACAGCCACGCTGGCTGGGACTGTGGGACACACAGCCTCGCTGGCTGGGGCTGTGGGACACACAGCCTCGCTGGCTGGGACTGTGGGACACACAGCCACGCTGGCTGGGACTGTGGGACACACAGCCTCGCTGGCTGGGACTGTGGGACACACAGCCACGCTGGCTGGGGCTGTGGGACACACAGCCACGCTGGCTGGGACTGTGGGACACACAGCCACGCTGGCTGGGACTGTGGGACATAGTCTACACCACAACAGGAAGGCAGCTTCACTTCAACAGGAAGGCAGCTACACCACAACAGGAAGACAGCAACACCACAACGGGAAGGCAGCTACACCACAACAGGAAGGCAGCAACACCACAACAGGAAGGCAGCAACAGCACAACAGGAAGGCAGCTACACCACAACAGGAAGGCAGCAACACCACAACAGGAAGGCAGCTACACCACAACAGGAAGGCAGCAACACCACAACGGGAAGGCAGCAACACCACAACAGGAAGGCAGCAACACCACAACGGGATGGCAGCAACACCACAACAGGAAGGCAGCAACACCACAACGGGAAGGCAGCAACACCACAACGGGATGGCAGCAACACCACAACAGGAAGGCAGCAACACCACAACGGGAAGGCAGCAACACCACAACAGGAAGGCAGCAACACCACAACAGGAAGGCAGCAACACCACAACAGGAAGGCAGCTACACCACAACAGGAAGGCAGCAACACCACAACAGGAAGGCAGCAACACCACAACGGGAAGGCAGCAACACCACAACAGGAAGGCAGCAACACCACAACAGGAAGGCAGCAACACCACAACGGGAAGGCAGCAACACCACAACAGGAAGGCAGCAACACCACAACAGGAAGGCAGCAACACCACAACGGGAAGGCAGCAACACCACAACGGGATGGCAGCAACACCACAACAGGAAGGCAGCAACACCACAACAGGAAGGCAGCTACACCACAACGGGATGGCAGCAACACCACAACAGGAAGGCAGCTACACCACAACAGGAAGGCAGCAACACCACAACGGGATGGCAGCAACACCACAACAGGAAGGCAGCTTCACCACAACGGGATGGCAGCAACACCACAACAGGAAGGCAGCAACACCACAACAGGATGGCAGCAACACCACAACGGGATGGCATCAACACCACAACAGGAAGGCAGCAACACCACAACAGGAAGGCAGCAACACCACAACGGGATGGCAGCAACACCACAACGGGAAGGCAGCTACACCACAACGGGAAGGCAGCAACACCACAACGGGAAGGCAGCAACACCACAACAGGAAGGCAGCTACACCACAACGGGATGGCAGCAACACCACAACAGGAAGGCAGCAACACCACAACGGGAAGGCAGCAACACCACAACGGGAAGGCAGCTTCACCACAACGGGAAGGCAGCAACACCACAACAGGAAGGCAGCTACACCACAACGGGATGGCAGCAACACCACAACAGGAAGGCAGCAACACCACAACGGGAAGGTAGCAACACCACAACGGGAAGGCAGCTTCACCACAACGGGAAGGCAGCAACACCACAACAGGAAGGCAGCAACACCACAACGGGAAGGCAGCAACACAACAACGGGAAGACAGCTACACCACAACGGGAAGGCAGCAACACCACAACAGGAAGGCAGCAACACCACAACAGGAAGGCAGCAACACCACAACGGGAAGGCAGCAACACCACAACGGGAAGGCAGCAACACCACAACGGGAAGACAGCAACACCACAACGGGAAGGCAGCTTCACCACAACGGGAAGGCAGCAACACCACAACAGGAAGGCAGCAACACCACAACGGGAAGACAGCAACACAACAACGGGAAGACAGCTACACCACAACGGGAAGGCAGCAACACCACAACAGGAAGGCAGCAACACCACAACGGGAAGACAGCAACACCACAACGGGAAGACAGTCTCTGTTTTTGAGGAACTTGTTACCCGAGAAAGTGTCTACTGAGGGGCAATAAAGAGTTACTTAAGATGGGGTTCCCTCGACGTGGTACGTTGCCCCTTAGTTGAAGTACATTTGGAATCGCCATATTTCAGAGGCATGTGTAGGTTGGCAGTAGTGGATCATCTTCCTATAGAGGGGATAGAGGTCATAGTGGCCAACGACTTGGCGATGGGATTGGACAGTAACCATCCCTGGTTGGGGACGATCCGGTTGGAGAAGCGGTAAGACCAGTAGTAGCAGTGCAAACCAGATCCCAGGCACAGACACAGTTGAAATTAAATGGCTTGTTTAACCCTACATCTCCCCCATAGGGTGTTGAGAACTCTCCAGCCCACTGTTTTGACTCTCCTCCTGAACCTCAACACTGGACTAAAGCGACATGGATAACTGAGTAATAAGAGGATCCTCAAGTGTAAGCCCCAACAGATACCTTAGAGTATGGCGCGATGGCAGGTAGCTTGTACCTGCGGAATGATAAGGTGACGTGTCCACGGAACTGATCAAGGACTCTCCAAACGTCAGAGGTATGTGCACAGGTTCACGCGCCCTCCATCTTCCAAACCAGGCTGATAGAAGCAGCCCATTATGGTCATTGTAGACTTGTGAAAGATATTTATCTTTTAGCCAAATGTTACTTGGTGTATTTTGTATTTTCCTCATGTTTGTAATGAGAGAAGTGACAAAGGAGGGGGGAGACGGACAAGCAGATGATAGCACACGTTAGCATGGCGCAGCGGTATCATGGACAGGACACTCGCTCCATGATGGTGGATGGAGGAATAGACCAAGAGGTGATTGAGGATGTTGGTAGTACAAGAAATGTTTTAATGAGTGACCGTTCTTGACAGGTTGCTGTCCATCGTGTAACTTGTACCAACGTTATGGGTAATATTGGCAACCCTGAAGTTAGAAGAGTGAACGCACTCTTCATTAGTGTACAAACAGTCACTGTGGGAATATGCACGAAGCTAGTCATCGGTCAAGATGTTGGTACGTATGTCCAGGCTGTACCTGTTAACCAAAACCGTCAATTTCCTGTATTATAGATTCCTGTCTCCCTGGAGGACCGCCAGATCGGTATCATAAACCCCTTCTGCATACAGCCACCAGCGGTACTACGGCTCAGGGAGGTTTGGGCAGTTCACCTCAGTTTTTCGATCTTCCTCAGAGCATCGGTGCTTACATACCCCAGGCGTGCGATGTGGCGCCTCTACGGACAAGTACGTCAGTTAGATCATTGCTCGTGGTCTTGGTGTTCACTTTGGTCAAGACATCTCTATTAATACAGTTTTTAAGGCAAGACTTTCTCCTGACATTGGTCATCTATCTGCACAAGTGTGATTGAGTTTATTCAAACATACTAATTTAGTTTATTTTCTTGTTAGAAACCTAACCAAATTCTTATTGGTGGGGCGGTGTTACGGAATCGACTCTGTTTATAGAGTGGCGATTTTAGCATCATCTATGGGTCTGCACTCCAACTCCACAGTATTGGCTGCTACGCAGACAACGCCATCTGTTGGTGGTATTGGTGAAAGGCTCCAGTTTCCTGTCTCAGTTAGAAGGTGAGGTCGATGATGATAACCTCTGGTGAGTGGCGTATCGAGATCAACGCCATCTAGACCTACCTTGTAACTTGTAGCCACAACGTTGTGGCTACAAGTTACAATGTCAATTCCCCGGTGGATGGGTGTTGTCCTAAGGTCACCCAGTATACTGTCTGTCTAGCTAATGACGTTTTATGTTCACAGAGGTGACATAAGGAGGCGATTGTGGTATGGAGGGCAGTTCACCTTGGGCAGTCCAAGAACTCTTGACTTGGTCCTATGAGAGGACAAAGTGGCCGCCGTCGGTTGTAGCAGTGTGTTAGCTGCGGGTTTATGCAGTGTTAGATGGGCCGACGTGTCCGGGATTAGCCAGGAAGAGTTACACGACGACAGTGGTGCGTCTGTTGAGAAGTACTTTCCCAGTAGTACTCACCTAGTTGTTCTTGCGGGGGTTGAGCTCTGGCTCTTTGGTCCCTCCTCTCTAATGTCAAAAAACTGATGTACAGGTTCATGAGCCTACTGGGTTCTATCATATCTACACTTGAAACTGTGTATGGCGTCAGCCTCCACCACATCACTTCCTAATGCATTCCATTTATCTACTACTCTGACACTGAAAAAAATCTTTCTAACGTCTCTATGGCTCATTTGGGCACTCGATTTCCAAGTGTGTCCCCTAGTGCATGTGGCCCCGGTGTTGAATAGTCTGTCTTCATGTACCCTATCAATTCCTCTGAAAATCTTGTATGTAGTGATCATGTCCCCCTAACTCTTCTGTCTCCCAGTGATGTAAAGTTTAATTCCCGTAGTCTCCTCGTAGCTCATATCTCTCAGCTCGGGTACTAGTCTGGTGGCAAATCTTTGAACCTTTTCCAGTTTAGTCTTGTGCTTGACTAGATATGGACTCCATGCTTGAGCCACATACTCCAGGATTGGTCTGACATATGTGGTATACAAAGTTTTGAATGATTCCTTACACAAGTTTTTAAAGGCCGTTCTAATGTTAGCCAACCTGGCATATGCCGGTGATGTTATCCTCTTGATATGAGCTTCAGGGAACAGGTCTGGCGTGATATCAAACCCCAAGACTCTCTTTAACTCTTGAAATATTTAATCTCGCAGATGATACCTTGTATCTGGTCTCTTGCTCCTTACACCTATCTTGATTACATTTACTTGGGTTAAACTCTAACAACCATTTGTTCAACTATTCTTGCAACTTATCCAGGTCTTCTTGAAGCCTCAAGCTGTCCTTCTCTGTCTTAATCATTCTCATAATTTTGGCGTCGGCAGCAAACATTGAGAGTAATGAGTCTATACCCTCTGGGAGGTGATTTACATATCAGAAACAGGATAGGTCCGAGAACAGAGCCCTGCGGGACCCCTCTGGTGACTTCACGCCAATCTGAAGTCTCACCCCTTACTAACTCTCTGCTTCCTATTGCTCTGGTACTCCCTTATCCACTGGATTACCCTACCAGTTACTCCTGCCTGTTTCTCCAGCTTGTGCATCAGCCTCTTATGAGGTACTCTGTCAAAGGCTTTCAGACAGTCCAAGAAAATGCAGTCCGCCCATCTTTCTTTCTTGCTTAATCTTTGTCACCTGATCGTAGAATTCTATCAAGCCTGTAAGGCTAGATTTACCCTCCCTGAACCCATGTTGATGGGTTGTCACGAAGTCCCTTCTCTCCGGATGTGTTACTAGGTTTTTCTCACAATCTTCTCCATCACCTTGCATGGTATACAAGTTAAGGACACTGGCCTGTAGTTCAGTACCTCATGTTTGTCACCATTTTTGTATATTGGTACTACATTAGCTCTCTTCCATATTTCTGGTAGGTCGGTCTATATTTCGTCGTTCAATTCCCGACTGACCAAGTGGTTGGACACCACTCCTCCCCCCCCCCGCCGTCCCATCCAAAAATCCTTATCCTGACCCTTTCCTAGTGTTATATAGTCGTAATAGCTTGGTGCTTTCCCCCTGATAGTTCCCTTCCCTTTCCCGTCTCCAGTGACCTACTATACACTATGGAGAGTGGCAAGCAAAGTGCTTCTGCACACTCTTTCAATACCCATGGTGAGATTCCGTCTGGACCAACAGCCAGACAGCCACGTCCAGATCTAGCAGGTGCCTCTTGACCTCATCTCTTGTAATTTGGAACCCTTCCAAGGCCGTCTGGTTTACTGCCATCTCTCCTAGTGCAGTGACCTTACCTCGTTCTATTGTGAAGACCTGGAACTTCTTGTCGACTTCTTCACACACCTCTTTGTCATTATGAGTACCTGTCCTCACCCGTTCTAAGTTTCATCACCTGTTCCTTCACTGTTTTTTTCCTTCTGATGTGACTGTGGAGTAGCTTTGGTTCGGTCTTGGCTTTATTAGCTATAATTTTCATAGTTTTTCTCGGCTTCTTCTCACACTAACATACTCGTTCCTGGTTCTCTGGTATCTCTCTCTACTTTCTGGTGTTCTGTTATTCCGGAAGTTCCTCCACGCCCTTTTGTTGAGTTCCTTTGCTTCCATACATGCCCAATTAAACGATGGATTCTTCTTTTGCTTCTTGGATTTTTCCTTTTGGGCCGGGATAAACCTGTTTACTGCCTCCTGACACATTTTGGTGACATAGTCCATCATGTCATGTACGGACTTGGTTCCGAGTTCTGTGTCCCAATGTATATTCCATAGGAATTTATTCCTCTCCTCATAGTTTCCCTTTCGGTACGCCAGCCCTTTGGTTCCCAGTACTTTTTTGGGGGTGATAATTCCCAGCTCAACCAGGTACTCAGAGCTCAATACACTATGATCACTCATTTCCAAAGGTGCTTCCAACCTAACTTCCCTTATATCCGACTCATTTAGGGTAAATATCAGATCAAGCATAGCTTGTTCATCCTCTCCTCTCATTCTTGTCCGCACCTTGATGTGTTGGCTTAGAAAGTTTCTTGTTGCCACGTCTAGCAGTTTATCTCTCCATTTGTCTGGTCCTCCATGTGGGTCTCTGTTCTCCCAATCTATCTTCCCGTAGTTGAAGTCTTCCATCATTAGTAGTCTGGATCCGTTCCTGCTAGCGACAGAAGCTGCTCTATTATATTAATTGTGACCGTGTTGTTTCTGTCATATTCCTGTCTGGGTCTTCTGTCATTTGGTGGGGGGGGGGGTATATATATGACTACTACTATCTCGGCAACACGTTGACAGAGGTCTGTCAGCGTGTTGCTGAGACCCTCTGCCAGTGTGTATCTGGTGAGCGGAGGTGGGGTATTGGCCCATCGTGAAGACACGGTGTGTGTGGACTGGCCCATGTTGAGGATAGTGAACACGCCGGTGTTGGCCAGTAGGAGTGGACGACGTGTACCTGGAAAGTGGATTCACCATAATGAACACTGTCGATGTATTGTGTCGTGAGTGAAAGCGACACTTGTATATGAACTGACTACTTCTCCTATGAAGTATCGAACTCTGGCCAGCCAAGTGGCAGTCCAGCATGCTAACCAATACACCATCACCAGATCTTTAAAAGGACGGTGTACGGGGCGGCTAATCCGCCAACACTCCGTCGCCAAAGACGCCAGGTAAGGGTGAGAGATCAGACACGTTCTCTTCAGCGCAATCATATTAACTAGAGAAAACACGAGCCACAATGTAACGACGATTGCAATGAGGAGAACGTGTCTGATCTCTCACCCTAACCTGGCGTCTTTGGGGGCGGAGTGTCCTGGATTACCCGCCCCGTGCACCGTCCTTTAATGGCCCAAGCTGGTCGTAACACCTCACCCCACCCCCCCACACCTCATCACACCCTATCCCCCCCCCCACACACACCCCGATGACGACACAGTTATGCTATCAGAACAGCCTTCAGGAACCTGTGTAAGGAATCATTCAGAATCTTGTACACCACATATGTAAGACCAATCCTGGAGTATGCGGGCCCAACATGGAGCCCGTACCTTGTCAAGCTCAAGACAAAGCTGGAAAAAGTTCAGAAGTATGCCACTAAGCTAGTCCCAGAACTAAGAGGCATGAGTTACGAGGAAAGGCGGAGGGAACTGTACCTCACGTCGATGGAAGACAGGAGAGCTCGGGGAGAAATGATCACCACATACAAAATTCTCAGAGGAACTGACAGGGTAGATAAAGATAAACTGTTTAACACTGGTGGGACGCGAACAAGGGGACACAGGTGGAAACTGAGTACCCACATGAGCCACAGGGACGTTAGAAGGAATTTTTTCAGTGTCAGAGTAGTTAACAGGTGGAATGCATTAGGCAGTGATGTGGTGGAGGCTGACTCCATACACAGTTTCAAATGTAGATATGATAGAGCCCAGTAGGCTCAGGAACCTGTACACCAGCTGATTGACAGTTGAGAGGCGGGACCAAAGAGCCAGAGCTCAACTCCATAGTTCTACCAAATACAACTATGTGAGTACAGGTGGGGA